TAAAATCTGAAAAGTTAGATCAGAGAAGTGAAATCTGAGGAGTAAACTACGAGAAGTAACCCCTTCGAAAAGTAAAGTTCTTATAGGAAGTAAAGCTCGAGAAGTAAAATTCCTTCATAGGAATAAACCTCAAGAAGTAAAATTCCTTCTAAGAAGTAAAGCTCAAGAAGTAAAAATTCGAGAAAGAAAAAAATCATTCGGAGAGTGAGGTCCAAAAAATAAAATTTGGAAAGTAGATTTGAAAAGTAATTAAATAGGATGTATAGTTAACTTTTCGGATGCAAGATATTTACTATTCAACCCAAAAATAATGCAAGGCAATAAGATATTTACTCTTCGGTCAAATATGCAAGGCAAACATGATCCACACCATTAGCTCAGTATTGCCTTACCTTTAGGGGGCGTTTGGTTCAAGGGATCTCAAATTATCCTGGTAATCTAAGAAAGGTAATGTTAGATTACCATATTTGGTTTAGGTAATCTGAGATGGAAGGTAATGCAACATTACCGCCACGTAAGAAATGTGGGTATGTTTGAGGTAATATGATTGCCAAGTTTTTATTAGGTAATGTGATATTACTTTTCAATATTCCAAAATTGTCATCAGTTATTCCTCTTTTATTCATCAGGTTCATCAGACAGAGAGACACATTCAATATTCCACCAAGTTGCGAAACTCCATCTCTATTGCATCGCTTCTCCGTTTTTTTCTTCATTGAAGGTCTTCAAAGGTGAGTTTCATTTTTTCTTGTAATCTAAAGCTTAATTTGTTCTATGTTTTTCATATATTTATGTGTATGAACTATTGTTCTTCTATCAATTTCTAAGATTTTTTTTTCTATCGAATTATTTGTGCTTTCTTACTTTGTTATTTTCTTATTTTCAGTAATTTTTTCAATTATTGTTCTATTCTTTGATGAATTATTGAAGGAGTTCATTTTTTTTTATGTATTTGCAAACCCTAGATTTAATGAAAATCAATTCTTGATCTACCCTATATATTCTAATAGCTTTGTTTACTCTCGTAAAAATTGCTCATTTCTTCTTCGCTTACTGCAATTTGATTTCAATTCATAGTTGTTTGTGTTGATTGCTCTGTTTTAGATTGTAATTCGTAGTTGGTGGTTTTATGCATTTTTTTATATATATATAATTGTTTGAAAAAAAAAATATTCTGCTAAACATATTCCAAAATATATTATGTTAATTCATGCTCTGTGTGTGTTACTAATGTAATTTTTTTCATAATCTCACATTTTTCAACTAAAATAATTAGTTATTTGTCATTATTGGGTTAATTTATTTTAATAATAATATTCTTATAGGGTGTTATGGCGCGATTGTCGCTAAAACAGAAGAATATCCTCATTTTGCAACTACAAATGATGGACAACCTTTTTAATATTCTTCTATTCCTTGCTTTGGCTTTACTAGTTAGAAGAAGAATAAGAAGGTTTAAAAAGACCATTACATATGTTCATCAAAGAACATATAGACAAAATATTAGGTCTTTAAATTTAAATAGAATGGTCTTTGATAGTGATGTCCAGTGTGTTGAAAATTACAGAATGGATAGAAGAGTTTTAACAAAATTATGTTATTTGTTAAAGACTCATGGTAAGTTGAAAGATAATAGGAATATGACAGTAGATGAGATGGTAATATCTGAGATGATCCTCCTTTTCTCTCTTATCTCTCTGTTCTGGATATTCTCTTAACACTTTCTTCATATAATTACACACAATATTAAGAATAGAGTACTTAAACGCCAAATAGCTAGGTCTGGTGATACTATTAGCACGCAATTTAATGCTGTCTTGAACTCTGTTTTAAGGCTACACGACATAATGTTTAGAAATCCTAAGCCTATACCTGATAATTCAACGGACGATAGGTGGAAGTGGTTTAAGGTATGAATTTTAATTAAGTACTAAGTTTTTTTTATCTACTTAAAACTAAACCAAGTATTAATTAAGTTATTGGGATTCAGGGTTGCTTGGGAGCATTAGATGACACTTTTATAAAGGTCCATGTTGGAACCGTTGATAGACCTAGGTACCGAACAAGGAAAGGTGAAATTTCTACCAATGTATTAGGTGTTTGCACATCAGACATGTATTTTATCTACGTATTACCGGGTTGGGAAGGATTCGCTGCCGATGGTAGAGTTTTTAGAGATGCGATTAGTAGGAAGAATGGCTTAAAGGTTCCTCAAGGTAATTAATCTCATCATAGGTTTTGAATTATGTTATTTGGGTTTACATATTAATGAATTCTTAAAATTGAATATATAGGGAATTACTATTTGTGTGATGCTGGATACACAATGGTGATGAATTTTTGGCACCATATAGAGGTCAACGATATTACCTAAATGAATGGAGACAATGATACCAACCTGCAATAGCTAAGGAATACTTCAATATGAAACACTCTCGAGCAAGAAATTGCATTGAGAGGTGTTTTGGCATATTAAAGGCTAGATGGAGTATTTTAAGAGATTAATCATTTTACCCAGTTAAAACTCAATGTAGGATTATATCTGCTTGTTGCATTCTCCACAATTTCATTAGGTCTTAAATGTCCCTATAGAGATTGAAGTACCTCAACCTGAGTTTGATAATTATTATGAGGAGGAACTAATAACACATTGTGAGACAAGTTCTGATTGGACTGAATGGAGGGACAAATTAGCAGAGGAGATATTCACAATTGGCAGTCATTGCACCATTGAGATTATTATTGGCTATGCTGTTTTTTATTAGTATTTTATTTCAAGAACAATTTTATTTTATGTTATTATTTCTTTTTTATTTTATTTCATTAGTAGAATGTCAAAACTATGAACTAATTTATGTATTTGTATTAATTAGAGGACATTGTAGTTTAAATATATTGTTTGCTCTGTTTATTTCTTCTTGTTATTTTGTTTCATTAGTAGAATGTCAATGGAAGAAAGTAGTAAAAAGCAGCCTACCAAGAAAACTTCTCTTATTAAAAGGCAATGGACTAAAGCAAAAGATGCAGCTTTAATTTAATGCCTTATTGATTTGGCAAATGATTGAAGTACAATGGGGATAATGGATTCAAAAGTCAACAACTTGAGAAGATACTTCAAGTGAAACTACCATGAACAAACATTAACGCCACCCCACACATTGAATCTTGCTATAAATTTTGGAGAAGGCAATTTTTTGCAATTCAAGAGATGCTAAACAAAGGAAGTGGATTTGGATGGAATAACACTGAGAAGTGTGTTACTGCTATACCAAAGATGTTTTTGATGAGTGGGTTAAAGTAAGTAAAATGTAAACTAAATTAAGTTCAGTTGCTCTAGATTATTATTGATATATTTAGTTGTCTTTTTTTTTTTTTCCAGAGTCATCCTACTGCCGTTGGATTAAGGAACAAACCATTCCCATATTTAGATGAGTTGATGACTGTTTGGGGAAATGATCATGCTTCAGGAGTTGGTGTAGATATGGATGGCAATTCTACCCGCACCCAATGGGTTCCCTACATCCCTGCCCCTACGGGTTTTAAAATACCCGCACAATTTGGGTAATGGGTGCGAGTGCGGGGGAGGTATCCCCGCCCCGCACCTGCACCCGCACCCGCACACACACACACACACACACACACCCGCAACTCTAATTAAAACTGCATAATGAATTAAACTTCTTAATTTTTTGTTTATGAAATTTGAATAAGAACAACACAAATAACATAATGAGTAATAATATAATTTATAGTTTTATACTAACAACACAATTTTAGTTCAAATTAAGGACTAACTTCATTGGTTCTTATTAAAATTTATATTTATATTCAAACTTATAAAAAATCCAAGTGATAATTAGAATTGTAGTATAAAATTTTTATTAGATTTAAGTGTAATATTAATAATTAGAGTTGCGGGTTGGGTATTACTCGCACTCGCAAAATCCCCGAGGGGGCGGGTATGGGGCAGGAATTTCATTACCTGCACGGGTGCGGGTGCGGGGAGTGGGTTGGGAATGCTGATGCGGGCCCCCACAACCACCCCGCCCCATTGACATTCCTAGGTGTATAAACCCCAGCTAATGTAGTGGAAGGGCTAAACCAAAGAGGAGACAATGATGATTATTTCTAAGTGGATTGAGAATTTGGAGAAGATGAAGGATTGGGTTAGAATGAGGCAGAAAATAATGTTGATAAGGCTGACTTATCTTCCTGTCCCTCTACAAACACCGACAATGTAAAAAATCAGCATACTAGCAAGAAAAGATCAAGAAGTGATGATGGCTTTAATAACTTGGTGGCAGAGATCCATGATTATGTAGATGCATACAAACATGTGACAACATACTTCCAGAATGAATCTGAGAACAATACTAGGAAGATGGAGATCTTTGAAGAGATAATGCAACTACCAGGATTTTCTACAGAAGAGAACATGAATGCTGGTGAACATATTCTGAAAGATGCACACAAGCTTGATATGTTCGTCTTTGCTTTGCCAAAGCAGCTTAGGAGCCATTATGTGGTGAAACAACTATCTAAGATCAGTGTATATCATCCAACCTATGATTTTCATGGTGGAGATGGTGTGTAGACCGCTTGTTGCCCTTGTAGCCCTTTTTTGTGAATTAATATAAATATGGGGCTGTTATTTTGTGTGCAAGTAATGGATATGTTATTGTAAATTTTGGTGGATGGTCTGTGAATTGGATTGTTTGTATGTATATGGGGCTATTATTTTGTTTGTGTTGGATGGTCTATGAAATGAAGTAGATTACAGCTGTAATATTTTGCTACTTATCACAAATCATGAAACAAGATAATCAATTAGCAGGAATTGCATTTTGTAGATTTTAATTTAAAATTTGTTGGTGTTGGATGGTCTTATGGTCTGTGAATTGCCATCAATTATTGAATTGCATCTGTACGCATTCTATTATTGTTGTTGTTGTTATCATCATCATCATCATCTTGAGGGCATTTAAGTAATTGATGTAATATAACCTAAAATATAACCTTCAACCAAACAAGTTAATATTACATTCCTACAACTTTAACCAAACACACCAGGTAATCTGTGTGATAACCCAAAGTTTAATTTTATAAATTCCGTTTTGAGAAATTCAAAAATAGCCATTTTTCACTCTAAAAAAAAATTTGCGATGAAATCAGTGTTTAAATAAATTATTTTGAGCCGCTTTTAAATAAATTCAACACCGAGACATGATTTAAAACTACAATCCTAAATTTTCGGGTACATTGCATGCCAAGTTTTGAACTGAAAAATCAGTCTGAGTGAAACAGGGAGAAATCTGAGAAGCCTAAATCAAGTGTTCATCTAGAAATCATTTTTGAGAAATTCATTTTAACCCCAAAACTATTTTAAATCTTGATTTTAGACCATGGTTCATGAAGCATGGTGAACCACTCTACTCCAAAATCTTTGCATAATGCGTTTAGAACAAACAACAATTTACTCATTTGCCCTCCACCAATCATTGAGTATCTTCCTAGGGTTTTGCACCCATATAAAAGGAATAGTAGCCTCCCATTTCTTCCTGATTCCACCCCTTGCTTACCACATCTTTGAGCTCTGCAATCACAAGAAGAAAACACAGTAAGATTTCAACATCCTTTATCATCCATTCACCTATCTTGCTTCTAGTTCCTTTCCCTTCTAACTCCCTCTCGGAGAACTTAGTATTAAGATGGTTGTGTGGTTTGTTTGAGATGTTTAGGAGGTGAAGGAGGGTGTAGCTAGCTTGGGAAGAAGGTGGAATCTCAGCTCAAAGGAGGAATCTACAAAGGTATAACCCCATGGACTCCTAAAGCTTATTTTAGACTCTGTGAAGTCTTGTTTAGTGTTTGAAAAGAGTAGGAATGCTAGAATAATGTTGTGTTTGAGCTAGTAAGTGATCTATGATGTATTGTTGATGATTTGGGAGTGTTTGGTTGCTTGATATTGTCTTACATGTGAAGGAGAAACTCACTGGTGCACAAAACAGTGTGCACCAGATGAGACACGGGGCTAGCCAACGGCCCTAGGAAGGAGCCGTTGGCAAGCCCCGTGTAAGAGCGGCCCTAGGGCACGGCTCCAGGCTAGAGCCATGGCCCTAGGCCGCCGCTTGGCGGTTCCAGGCGGCGGGGCTCCTCAAGCCCCGCTGGGCAAAACTTGTGCAGTGGCCGGGCGGGGCAAAACTTGTGCAGTGGCCGGGCCCTTGTGGCTCAGCTACGTGTCGTTTCGGACCGGGACTCGCAGGTCCTTGTGGCTCAGACACTCGAGATCGACACGATGCACGAGTAGAATTTGATTTCATTGAATTCGGAGTAGAGTATTTTGCAAGAGAATTTGTGAAGCTTTATGCTACAGAGGTTGTCTGGAAGCATTTAAAGTGAATGGAAAATGTTAAGTAATTGGTCTTGACTATTTGTTTGAGAAGCATGACAATTGTATGATTGTTAGATAATGAAATATGATCAATATTTGTTAAATTTTTGTAGAAAGGCATGCCTAGCTGTCTATTATGACTTGTTGAGAATTTTGCCAAGAATATTAAGTTTACAGAGCATGATTACAGCAAATGGGGATTTGATGAATATTTTGAGTTCAATGATGTAGCAAAAATAAGATGTGGTGAGTGTACGGGTGTGAAATATCGTCCTCAGGGGATTGGGGGATATGACACGCAATATGCAATCACAATAAACTAGGCACTAGCATAAGGAAATCAACAAGAAGCTAAGCAAACTACAAGCTTAAGGAAATGATAAGACTAACACATATACACAAAGATAAACACAAAATAAAGAGATATGATTCAAGCTAGGGGGCATTATCATCTAGATGCTTTAACAACCTAAGGGATTAGGGAGGACAAGTAACTAAGGAAACAAGCGGGAATGCACGTAAGTATCCTAGTCTACGAACCATTCTCATTATTAATAAACAAGGATTAGAACAAGGAATTGCCCCACTTTCGTGGTGAATCAATTCCAAGTCCATCAAGCACACAAAGCATCTAAAGCCCCCAATTTCCCCTATTTTCGTAGGAAGGAATCGGGTCTATGCAAGGGGTGGCTTGGATTCATCACCCAACTCTCGTTGAGGCAAGGAATCCTCCAAAAACAAGCTAATGAATGTGTACATCAAACATTAACAAGATATAAATACAAAACCTTCACAAACACATGAACCCTAGGTTGGAGTTCTTTCCCTTTTTTGCAATAATCACAAATCAAGCATCAAGATAGATAATACAACCCTAACTCAAGTCCATAAACTAACTACTCATGATTCAATAGCATAAAGAACACAAAAACATATATGTAAAGCATAAACATTGCAAGATAAAGAGATAAAAGGGAGAAGAAAACTTCACTAAGAAATGGATGGTGAATCTTGGAATCCAAGTGTTGAATCCTTGATTACAAGCTTGAAAAATGTTAAGAAACTTAAATCTAAACCTAATCTAACACTACAATATGAAAGGAAGTGAAAGAGAGAAGCTAGGGCTCAACCATGGGTCAAAACCGAGTTGAAATGAGTGAATCCACGCCTAAATAGTGAACAGGGCACAGAGGGACGCCCTCAGGGATGGGCGTACGCCAGGCAGTACCATTTTTGGTGCATTTCCAGTGTTCACTGGAATGGTCGTACTGGCATGCGTACGGGCTTATGGCAGGGCGTACGCCACCTGCTTCTTTTTTCAGATCTTGGATGGGCTGATGGATGGGCGTACGGGAGGCAGTACGGTACTCTTGAAATTCCTAAATGCATTCCAAACTCTTTGATTGATCTCTTGGTCCAAGAATTGTTAGGATCTTTCCAAAAATCATTGAATTTCTCACTTGTTGTGAATGATTGCACCTTAAAATAAAACCAACTTAACTTAGTCACAATTCACACAAGTTTTTAAGCAATTCACAAATAAAATGGGTCCAAGATGGGGTAAAAATATAATATAGACAAAAATGCACTTATCATTCAAGTGCATGTTGAATACTTGCTAAGTGTTTGCCAATGAAGATTTGCTAAATTATGATTTATAAGCATGTCTAGACAATTGTTGAGAGTTTACAGTGAATGAAGTTTTAAAGCATATTTTACAGTAAAGTGTATATTTGAGCATACCATGCTTTAAAAGTGCATAAGTTGCCAATGTGAGGCTAAGTACTATTTTCAAAAACTTATATTGTAACACCCCAGATTTTCAAGATATTTAAAACTTATAAAATAAAGGTGAAATCTCATTAAATCCCAAAACGTAATACAAGAGTGCGGGGTGCTATGCCACACCTGAGCTAGAGAACTCAGGTGCACAGGCTAACTATCTAATATCCTCAGTAATGTAAATGCATAAACATGGCACGCAGGCCGAAAGGGAAACTATCTACTTCTACGTTCCAAGTTCTAGCGCGCTCCAGTGACTTATTCTTCTGTGCCTGAAAGCCAAATATATCTGTTTAGCGAGAGATGCTGGTAACCCACTCCAACGCGTTGAAATACAGTACATATAGATATATATAGATATACGAAAACCATTTTGAGCATGAAGATATATCCTACGAACTCTAGCTTTTAAAACCGGGAATGACTCGACAGATAAGGCTAGACACAAGCAACAGTTATAACAAGCGTATACAATCCACAACAGGCAAGACAGATAAGGCTGAGCACAAATCATAACCCAACATGAACAATCCCCAACACAAATCCCATAGACACATCCCCCCCAATATACTCATAAACACAACTCATCCATATCTCATCACATAGCACACTTTGTTGGCGCCACAGGACCAATCGCATGCCCATACATGAGGGTCAGCGCATATAGCTCTGACACGGCCCCGCAGCACCCTGCCCCGTCTCACATTACGGAGGAGCCGATCGCAACCGACTGATGGACCTTTGTCCTACATAATATTTATATACCTGACCGGTCTTTACCAGCCTGGTTAACAGTTGGGATGGTTCTCAGCCCATTCAACTGCCGTATAGTGGACCTTTGTCCTATATAATATTTGTATACCTGACCGGTCTCTACCAGCCTGGTTAACAGCCGGTATGGTTCTCAGCCCATCCGACTGCCCGTATAGTGGAACTTAGTCCTATATAATATTTATATACCTGACCGGTCTCTACCAGCCTGGTTAACAGCCGATATGGTTCTCAGCCCATCCGACTGCCCGTATAGTGGAACTTAGTCCTATATAATATTTATATACCTGACCGGTCTCTACCAGCCTGGTTAACAGCCGGTATGGTTCTCAGCCCACCCGACTGCCCGTATAGCCCGATTGATCTTAACCAATTCGGGGTTACATACACACATAACACATAGCAAGTACACGCAACCCACATTAACACATTGGGAAGGGGGAGAAAACGTATAACAAAACCTATGCGTGATCCTTCACATACTAAGAATGGTCCTAAGGGGTTCATACTCCTTTCACCTAGGTCAACGGGATACCAATTCAACTAGCATGCAATATATAAGACTCATACAACCTACGAACGGTACCCGAAACATCAAACTAGACATAGGCACGATAGACGGAGTCCGTTGGGACACCACGGGGGTCGGGGAAACATCAAACGGGGAAGCCGAAACCCCGGGTTGGGGTATTTCCCAGCGGGTAGCCGGTGGGTGGGGGTCCACCCGCCGGCTGCCCGCTGGCGTGCACTGTTCCGGGCAGCGGGTGCCCGGCGGGCAGCTGCCCGCCCGCCGGCTGCTCGCTGCCGGGACTGCCCGTCTTGGCCGCGGGTAGGTGGCGGGTCCCCTACCCCCACCTACCCCCCACTGACTCTTTTCATCACAAAAACGCCCCGGGAACCATTGTGGAACCCGAAACCATGCTTAGACACTTTACAACGCAATTAACGATCAACACGTAGTCAATTAACGGGTCAAATACGAGAAACGTACGGCACATAACCTATCATGCTTTTCTAACATAATCGACGCCCCAAACATGCAATTTCCCACCCGATAAACCAAGAATGATATCATACGATTCAACCTAGGGTTCTAATCACTTTTATACCCACAAGAATACGATTCGTCCTCCAATTACAAGATTCGGTGCAAATAACATATAAGCGTATACAATTATCAAGAATGACATATGAACATCAAGAACTCCACATACTCATCAAGAACATCATAATTATCAAGAATCTCCCAATATCAAGATCACCCATGGAATTATCCCATCAATCATCAATAACAATATCGCAAATCATCAATACACAATAATATGGGGAAATCCTACGGGGGAAATCATAGCTATGAAAATAGGTTTTGTTGAGACATGGGTTACCTCTTATTAGCCTTAATTAATTCCTTGGCTATGAAGGGTCTTTCTTTAAGCTTTCTTGCTTTCTTGATTTCTTCTAGGGGGATTCTTGGAGCTCTTTGGGGAGGTGGGGCGTTATTCTTGTGGGGGTTTCTAGGTGCCTCTTGAGTCCGCTATTTATATATTTAGGTGTCCTAGTTAGGAGCTAATATTATGGGCTTGCTAGTTCTATTTCTTTTGGGACTAAGGATTGGGTTTAGGGATAAGGGCCCGTGGACTATGGTGGGCCTTCCTAATTAATTATTGTGATTTAATTCTTTCTTTTGGGTAATTGATTAAATGATTTAATTGATCTTAGGGGTCGTAACACGGGGTGTTACATATATCTATTTTGGAAAGTCATGACCTAGTTGCACTGAGAAATTGTGAGAAGTTATGTGCATAAGTAAAGTATTGCATGAATCGAAATGCATGAGCTATATCTATATGTATTTAGTGTGAGTAATTCGAGATTTTGGAGGAGCGTTAGGACTATGTCCTTTCGGAAGAAAAGAGATAAAATCGGATAGAACTGACAAAATAGAGAAAGCAAGCAAGAAAGAAAGAAACGGACATTGCGATCCGATATGAAGTAACGAGGTCGATATTCTCGAGTTACTAGGTTGGAAACTGCCCGCCAGGCTTGGAATCCTGGTCAGGGGGTGTGCACATTGATAGTTCGATACCTAATTCCACAGAGTTTGAGAAAAGAACCAAGAGAGTGGTTCTGTGGGCGAGATGAGTTTTAGGCTGGCTAGATGCCGAGCCCAGATAGGCCCATTCACAATATGGTGAAGTCCTACCTCGCCCACGAGTATAAAGAAAGCGAGTCATTACGACTCTAAAGAAAGCGAGTCATTGTGACTCTAGAGAAAGCGAGTCATTGTGACTCTAAGAAACCTCCACAAAAAAGTGTTCTTTTTACAAAAGAATGTATACGTGTATCTACCTATACTTATACTAAAGCATCATGTTCATTCTATTGCATGATCAAGTTAATTGCACGAGATTGCATGTTGAGTATATGATAGCATGAGATTGCTTAGAGATTATATGATTGCACGAGATTGCATGTTGAGTATATGATAGCATGAGATTGCTTAGAGATTATATGATTGCACGAGATTGCATGTTGAGTATATGATAACATGAGATTGCTTAGAGATTATATGATTGCACGAGATTGCATGAGATTGCTTAGAGATTATATGATTGCACGAGATTGCATGTTGAGTATATGATAACATGAGATTGCTTAGAGATTATATGATTGCACGAGATTGCATGTTGAGTATATGATAGCATGAGATTGCTTAGAGATTATATGATTGCACGAGATTGCATGTTGAGTATATGATAGCATGAGATTGCTTAGAGATTATATGATTGCACGAGATTGAATGTTGATTATATGATAACACGAGATTGCTTATTGAGTTATATGCGTTAGCATGAGATTATTGCTTATTAAGATATATGATGATATGATATTATTGATAAGATAAGTATGTGATAGTATGAGCTTGTTGATAAGCTAAATAATTGTGAAAGCATGCCTATTTGATAATTAGGTTGCAAGCATATAGAAACCCTGTTGAGCATGTATAATTGTTGCCGAGTGATTGAGAATGCTTGATCTAAGAATGTGATATCAATATTTTCCAAAAGTATATACTGTAGTACTTTACAGGGTTGAGTGGCGTTATACTTAGCTTCGTGCTAACAGGTTGTTTTCTACTTGTTGTTTGTTAACCCCTTTCAGGTGGGCCCAATTCGTGAGAGAGTACGAGTTAGACTAGACTAGCATAGTTAACTTTTGTAGTCTAAACTCTTGATGATTACTTTTGAGACTTGTAGTTAACTTTCCCTTGAGTTTTTGATGGTGCTGGACATCGGGGTTTTATCCCCTAGTTTGATGGATGTTAGTAAAACTTTAATGGTTTAGTTGGTTTAATCTTAACCTGTGTAATCACCGTGAAGGGTGATTGTGGCGGTGACACATCTATTAAGTTGTTTAGTAATTTTATTCCGCTGCTTTAGCTTATCTTTCAAGGTTAAGTCTGCTAATTAAGTTTTAGAAAAGTGGGGTGTTACAATATGACATTCCCAAAATCTCACATTATCTTCCTGCAGGTAATCTTATTACCTGGGGTAATCTGAGATTCCGTGAACCAAACGCCCCCTTATATATTTGCACAAAGACAACAAGCGAAGAGTAAAAATGCAAATCATCCACTGTGATTAAAAACAATCCAAAAAAAAAAAATCTATAAACATTAATGGGGTGTTTGGTTGGGATGAAAGAATTAGGAAGGAAAGAAATTGCAATTCGGTGGGAAAAGAATAAGGTATGAATAATGTAGGAATTAAAATTACATTGTTTGGTATGGAAGAATATAATTATTGGGAATGAGAAGGAAAAAGTGGTATAAATATAAAATGCTTGTGTAATAATAGTAATAATAATAGTAATAATAATAGTAATAATAATAATAATAATAATAATAATAATAATAATAATAATAATAATAATAATAATAATAATAATAATAATAATAATAATAATAATAATAATAATAATAACAACATTCACCAAGGATATTTTTGTCATTTATTCTATTTTTTCATTTCCCACAAGCATTGAATTTCAATTGACCCCATGAATTGCAATTCAACAAAAGGAGGGAATTGCAATTTGGTGGAATTGCAATTCCCTCCAACCAAACAATGTAATTGAGACCTTCGCTGAATTATAATTCAATTAAAACTCAATTACATTCAACCAAACACCCTGTAAGTCATTAAAAGGTCAATATGTAAAAAACATAAGATCATGTCCCAAAAACACAAACAGATCACTCATGATCATAACAGTCTTCAAGCTCATATTTCAAAAGATCTATCATCATCATTCATCACCGCATTTGCGCTGCTTCGGGCAAATCAACATTAGTTCAATGAGATTCTTTTCCCGACGGTTGCTTATCATCATTTTTATTTTGCATCGTTTTATACGCTTTAATCAGATGCTTTGGTGTGCGGCACATACGAGCCCAGTGCCCTTCACACCCACACCGAAAACAAAGTTGTTGCCTCGATGGACCTTGATCACTCTGTTTCTTATCTTGGGCTCGAAAGTCATTGTTGTCCTTACCTCTACCACTTTGGTTACTTAGATCGCAACCTCTACCACGACCCCTTCTAGAATTGCTTCCCTAGGCAATATTATGTGCTTCGGGCACTGGGGCAGAACAAACCGGTCGTGAATTATAGTTTTTCATCAATAACTGGTTGTGCTTCTCAGCCACAAGAAGTGATGAAATCAGCTTAAAATGCTTTTTATAATTCTTTGCATGTACTACAGCTGGAGTACAAGGTTACTCGCATGAAAAATAGACAAAGTTTTTTCAATTAAATCTTTCTTTGAAACTTCTTGTTTGCAGAGCTTTAGTTGCGAGACTATTTTATGAAGAGTTGAATTGTAATCATTCACTGACTTATAATCTTAAAATCTAAGATTAAGCTAGTCAAAATGCATTTGTGGAAGGACATTTGATGACTGTTGGTCAAAACTATCCTTCAGGGACTTTCATAATGCAAAATGGTCATTTTCAGTTAGGTATTCATTTTTTTAGGTTGTGGTTCAAGTGGTGACGTAAGAAAATGAGAATTTTTGCCTTCTAGGCGTTAGTACATTGTGACTTAGCAACAATAAAGGGAAATATTTCACATGTTCTCCTTGTAAACTTAATAAAGATAATACGGAAATATAACATGCATATTTCACAAAGTATCCCTGCATTGCTTTAAATTCCACCAAGCAAAACATTCCATGCATTGCTTTAAATTACTTTTCGAATTGCCATGGCAAGTCTATCACCACAATGGCCGAAAAGTAAAACCATGCATTTACTTTGCATAACATTTACTTCACGCATGCATGGATACTTTTGCCAATTTACACAGCAATTCGAAAAGTAAATGTTGTGCCAAAATTTTAATGAACGATATTCACATGTCTATATAGCAAGAGAAGGAATTAAAACTCTATGTATGTTAAATTTTCACAAAAGACGTAAATATCTATTTTTTGGGGAAAACATATAAAATCAGGTAGTGAATTATATACAAGTATTATTTTGCGTAAGAAAGCAAATATCAAGCATACCAAGGATCAAATATAATCATTGTAAACCAAATATGTGATACTTACATTTCTTCTGCAGAGACAAAAATTTGAGATTCCTTATTCAAGAATTTGTAGGTATACATACAAATCATATACGTACATATACAATATCATGCTTTTCTAGATAATATAATATTCTAGGAAGACAACTGAGCATACTGTTCACCAGAGAAAGTATGATGACGATTCGTGCTAATAACGTGTTGTAATTTGGACAAGAGAAGAACACAATATGTAGAACTCAAGAACATAAGAAAGAAGTAGATAAGAGTAGGCCCGGCCCTGAGCAAGGGCGGGCTGAGCCCTTGCCCAGGGCCCATGCTTGGAGGGGGCCCACTTGGCACCTACCCCTTTTATATGTAGTATATATATTTAAGACAATAATATACAGTTGTTTTACACAAAGGTGAGGTTGTTTTGTTGGTAAGTGCTTAAACTACAACCTAGAGGACTAGGGGTCGATTCCTTATGACTCTATCATTTTAGTCAACAAAGGCCCCGTAATCTGTGATTCTACCATATTAGTCAGCAAAGCCCGCCCATCTGTGAGAGAAGATAATAAATGACACTTTTATTTTTCATGCTTTCTATTTAAATTAGGGAAAATTGTAAAAAATGTCTCTCTATAATACGCCAATTATCAATGTCACCCCTGAATTATAAGTGGTGTAAATGTTGCCCCTCAATTATCAAAACGGTGCACATATAGCCCCTCCCGTAACGGACACGTAGTTCCCCGTTAGTGTAAGACACCGTTAAGTCGGAGTAAATATGTAATTTAGTTGTTTTTTTCCTCCCTCGATTGAAATACCAGCGATGGACAGTGGTGGGGAACCACAGATTCGTATATACCAAACATTGTAATTAAAAATGCTCAGTAATTATATTCCTGTAAACCAAACACTGAAATTTAGGGGTCGTTTACTTCATTTCTCTGTTTTTCCATTTCCAGTTTTCCATTTTTCCGTTTCTCCAGTTTTCCTTTTCCATTCCTCCAGTTTTCCATTTCTCCAGTTTTGTAATTTTCATTCCCCATTTCTCCAATTTTTCTTTTCTCTAATTTTCTGATTTTATTAAATACAATTATCTCATAGAACATTTGTACACTTCTACAACAAAGATGATGATGATGATGATGATGGTAATAATAATAATAATAATAATAAGCATTTGTACATTTCTAATAATAATAATAATAAGCATTTGTACATTTCTAATAATAATAATAATAATAATAATAATAATAATAATAATAAGCATTTGTACATTTCTAATAATAATAATAATAATAATAATAATAATAATAATAATAAGCATTTGTACATTTCTAATAATAATAATAATAATAATAATAATAATAATAATAATAATAATAATAATAATAATAATAATAATAATAATAATAATAATAATAATAATAATAATAATAATAATAAGCATTTGTACATTTATAATAATAATAATAATAATAATAATAATAATAATAATAATAATAAGCATTTGTACATTTATAATAATAATAATAATAATAATAAGCATTTGTACATTTCTACTACTACTACTACTACTACTACTACTACTACTACTACTACTACTCTACTACTACTACTACTACTACTACTACTACTACTACTACTACTACTACTACTACTACTACTACTACTACTACTACTACTACTACTACTACTACTACTACTACTACTACTACTACTACTACTACTACTACTACTACTACTACTACTACTACTACTACTACTACTACTACTACGCATTTGTACATTTCTAATAATAATAATAATAATAATAAGCATTTGTACATTTCTACTAATAATAATAATAATAATAATAATAATAATAATAATAATAATAATAATAATAATAATAATAATAATAATAATAATAATAATAATAATAATAATAATAATTTTTTTGGTAGGGATAATAATAATAATAATAATAATAATAATAATAATAATAATAATAAGCATTTGTACATTTCTAATAATAATAATAATAATAATAATAATAATAATAATAATAATAATAATAATAATAATAAAAAAATAATTGGGGAAGAATGAAAATATATGGGAAAAGAAAAGGAAGAAAGAACAAAGAAAGAGGGAAAGGGAGAGAGAAGAAGAAGGGAAAACGCAAGGGTGTAAAAAAAGTTGGCCCAAGGATTCAACCTTGAGACCTCAAATAAAGAAAGCACTATTCACCCGCTTTTTCCATTTCTCCAAATGGAGAATGCAGATTTTGGTTTCTCCAAAAATCTACATAAATGGAAGAAACGGAGATAGAAAATAAAATTGGAGAAAGAAATTTAGTAAACAACTTCTCCATTTTTTTCCACTTCTCAATTTCTCTAAATTTTTGAAAAATCCTCCATTTTTCCAAGTTGATAAACGACCCCTTAAATTCTCACTTTATTCGCAGTAATTCATTTTTCCCGAATTGCAATTTATTTCGCACGTAATTCCCTCATTCCAACCAAACATACCGTTATTGCATTAGCTCTATGCAACTTTGGATCCATGATTCACGGACTTAAATAGTCTTGAATATAATCTCTCAAACATGTTAACTAGGATCTAGCTTACTATTAGGCATCACTCCAAAACAGGCTATTACTCACCGACAATTTTATTTAGATATATATATATACCATACAAGAGTTTATTCCAATCCCATAAGCAATTTTAGTACATTGTGTAATTTTGTGTTACAAGAATGAACTCAAACCACACAAATCTTGAAAAAAAAAAAGATTGCATATTAACATCCATCAAATTGGCCGGGAACTGAAGATTAATAAGAAGCCGCCATATCCTTGAGCTGAGGTGTGGATTCATCATTATCATTCCAAACTCCAGAATTGGTTACAAGAATCACCAATGGACTTCTAACTTGATGAAACCCATCACTCCAAACTATCTCACCAAAATCATACCTCCCTTGGGACGCCTTCTTGGGCCTTACACTCACATAATATGTGAGCTCTTGCTTGAATGGCGTAAACACCAAAACCCTGGGCCAAACCCCCACATCCACGCCGTTTGGGCTCACAATTTTCACAGTATAAATCGCCGTTCTCCAGCACCGCCCCACGTTACGAACTGTCCTCCTAATCGTCGTCGTGCGCTGGAGATTCATTATCGTGATGGACGGGTAATTTAGATCCGCCGTGGTGGGCCGGTTTCCTCGGCAGCTCCACGGGGCGTCAAGAACCAGGCTTCTGATTTGTTCCTCGGTGTAGCCAATGTTACAAAGATAAGCAATGTAGTCTTTGGTTTTCATGTCGTAGACTAGCCCTGGATCTATTGCCTTCAGGGGGTTTATATGACCGGCTCCAATGTCGAAAGGGTCCGCCGATTCCAGAGATCCGCCGGCTAAAATACTATCACCGGTTGTATCCTTATTGTACGCTAAAAAGAGAAACAACATTGAGTTAGTTTCATATAAGGAATAGGAATAGAGCGTTTCTCCTGAGGTCACGCGATTCAAACATTTTACTGGATCATTCAATTCGTAGGAGTAATGGGCTGTGTCATTCAATCGGTAGGAGCAAAATGGGCGGGTGTGTACAAAGCGTAGAGGCACCTCAAGTATCACACCCCTTATAGTAGATAAAAAATTAAAAATCCCAAGGACAGACACAATTTGTCCGGAAAATCACACCGGGACTAAACTGGCGCATGCGCTCTCCCCAAGGGCACGCGTTGGAAGGGCCTACGGTGGGAACGACAGTGTGTTATGCCTTGGCCTAATTGGATGACGACAAACCCTATGGTGTGAACGACGGTGTGCTATGCATTGGCTTAACTGGGTGAATCACACAGGTTTTGGGGGTGATTCGGGGTTTTTTTTTTTTTTTTTTTTTTTTTTCTAATATTATTGCATGGTCTTTTAGTTTAAAACATTTTAATTAGGTTTGATCAATTAGAGATACATTTTGGATAATTGGGTTGGTATCACCATCATCACTTTCACAATTAATAAGAGAATAGTCACTTTTAGTACATTACCGAACCATATAAATCATGGCTTTTCTATTTATTGCTATTATTATTGTTTCTTATTTTGGCATTGATGAGCATCCAACTTGAGTTAAATTTGACCTATAAAGTTTAGTTTAAGTTAAAGCTTTGACTTACCTGTAGTGATGAGAGCGGATCGGATGGCGGCCGGAGACCAGTCTTGATGAATGGATTTTATCAAGGCGACCACACCGGAAACATGAGGGCACGACATTGAGGTGCCGGACTGGAAATTCCAACTGGTCGATCGCCTATCTGTCGGGAAAAACGTTGGAGGGATGTTTGGCGGCCAAGCTGCTAATATGTTTACCCCTGGTGCACTTATGTCTGGCTGCATGTTATTATAAAACAAAAAGTATCATGTCCTAAATCCTAACCACAATTTTGATCTAGATGTTTAATATCCTCTTAAAAAGTAGATTATAACCACAGACCTTGAGAAAATCAGGGGAAATTGAGCTTGGCCCTCTGGAAGAAAAATCTGCAACTATTGGAGCTGGACACTTTCTGAGGACTGTTGTACTTGGTAATATTTGTATCACAGGGAGCCTATAATCAACACATCCGATCCAATTCAAGGGCCACCAACAAAATAATGTAAGTATCATAAAAAACATGCAAATTATGCCGTGTAACCGTGTGCACCATGCATGGTGTATACGGTTGCAAAAACGGCGTCGTTTTGATTAAAAACGACGCGTCCGACTTTACAAAAAAATCTCGATTGCCGTTAGGCGTTATGTTGTGCAGAATTAATGAACTATATATCTAAAATTAATGAACTATATATCCAGAATGAATGAACAATGAACTATATATCCAGAATGAATGAACTATATAGTTCAAATTATGCACAACATATATAACACCGTTAACGGTAATTGAAACTGAAATTTTTTTTAAAAGTCGAATGTCAAAACATCGTCGTTTTTGCAACCGTATGCACCATTCATGTTGCACAGCATAACGCTACTAAAAAACAGAATGTGTTTCAGGTCATAATTTTTGGAGAAAATTAAATAAAGCTTGAGAGTATAGATGTGGGATGGTACTTGGGAGACTGGGCAAGGTAGTAACCAATTTGAGTTCCTTGGATTAGGTCTAGACGGAGGACGGGGATTATAGTAACGTACGCAACCGGCCTGCCGAGAGGCTCCACGAAGATGAGCCCCGACGCATTGGCTCTCCACGCCGCCGCTTCCGCCTCCTCCACCAACACCGGCCCTATGGTGGCGAAGCATAAAATCACCCTGCCCGATGCTTTTCTGTTCTTCCAATTCTCCATCTTGCAAACCCTATATCAATTGTTGAACATATAACCATTAATGTGCAATTCAACTATCAACTTAGACTTTTAGTCATCATCTCACTCCTTATTAGTATAATTATTAAGTAAATGAACAACAATACCAGGGGCATTTAGTTTGCAGGATGTGAGATTAATTACCTCAATCACCTAATAGAATTGCTTTTTCAGACATTACAATATGCACAATCATAATTATAAAAAGTAATTACAAAATATCACCATATTTGTTTAAACTACTTAATAGAACGTTTGGAGAATGTTTCCAGCCAGATGCACAAGCAGTTAACCATGAATGCATAATCATGCATTACATGATGCGCAATTATAATAACAGATGTTTCCAAATGTTACCTAAGGACGACTTGTTCTCATTTCATCTAATACCATATATATATATATATATATATATATATATATATATATATATATATACACACACACTATGTATGTATGTATTTTCACTAACCCATCATAGAAGTAAGAACTGGCTCCAGCCAATCTTGCTTTTACTTGATTGCTGACCAAGCTTTCTCCCTGCATCCATAAACAACGTAACTCGATCATTTTCTCTTAATATATATATTCGATCCTAAATCAAATTTGTACACAAATGTGTGGAGTCTGTAATGGATGATTAGGCACATAGATGCTCAGCACTTAAGAGTTTATATATATGACTCTAAGAGGGTGCATATATATAATTGAATGATATGTATCTAGGCTTGCTTGGATCAATGATATAATAAATTCTAGAGAATTATTACTTAACAAATGGTCCTAGTGCCTTTTATACCAAGTTTAACATTATGGATGCTATATTGCTATTTGAGTTGTGCCCTAATTATAGGAGGCACCTTTAAATCCGTACCATGCTATATTGCTATTTGAGTTGTGCCCTAACTGTATAAGGCACTTTTAAACCCGTACCATACTCAGACTAATCCACGTTCGCACCAGACCGGGCTAATTAAATGGCAAAGTGCTGGCCAGATTGGTTTTTCCATACGAGAGGGGATTCGAACTCCCGACGCGGCCTCTCTTAAGGGACAAGAGTGCACGGCCACTCACGCCAATCAAGTTGGTCATAGATATTGTCAGTATTAGTTATGCGGTACTTAGTGCAACTAAACATATTATTTGTAATTATACTTGATATATTATCATGATATTTTTTTTTTATCAGATCATGAGCTATAATAATAAAGTCATAACCAATAATTACAAGCTTTACTGCTAATGTGTAATAAACCATAAAAACCTACTTATCATTGCGTGCCATGCATACGTATGGTACATACGACAAACAGTTTTCTAATAGAGCCAAATTTATGTTGGATTATTATCATCATTTTAACATTTGACCAGTTAATAATGTAACTAATTATATAGACCGCTAACTTCACAAATCTGTAACGTGCATTGGGTAATACTAATGATTTAATTGCCAAAGGTCAAAAGAGAACATATGATTAGATCATTGAAAATTTCCTTTCATGTTTTAGGGTTACAAAACCTAAGAAAGTTATGTAAAGATATTAGATATATTATAAGAAAATTTTATAATTTTACAATGTTAAGTATTATGTTTACTATTATAAGTAAATTTAAGGAAAAATATACGCTATTGATTGACACTGATATCACTTGTATGAGGTACCAATTCAAAAATTTTCTATTCATTTTGAATTTGTACTGTATGCAAGAGATATGAGTATCGTACCGATGGATATCTTACAATTTTCTTATAAATAAAAATAAGTGGTGATATTTTTGTAAACAAAATGATAGTTATTTATAAAAATGTGATGATATCAAACTTGTTCGCTAAAATCATTTTTCCAAATTGAAAAATGGAAATTAGAATTGTTCTCTATTTTAAAAAAAAAATTTAGAAAATTCATTCAACTAATTCTTCAAATTTAGAGAAATGGAGAAAGACAGGATGAATAGTAGATCCACACTTAATCCCTTGCAACAACATTTATAATTTTTTTTAAAAAAAAAACTATATAAATGATAAAATGGAGAAATGAAAAATTGTAAAATAAAAAAAGAGGCATGATTCTCAAATTTTCTATTTTTCTAAAAAGTAACTCATTTCTCCCGTACTAAACACACATGACATTCAAATTCATAGTAGTAGTCATGTATTGTAAAATTTTCTTTAGATTTTTTTTTTAAAATTTATTAGTTGACACATTAATAAGAAAAAAGTATATATAAATGTAAAAAATAACAGTAAGACCAACTAATTTCCAAATAGTTAGATGATCTAAATAGTAAATATATAATATAAGTGTTTGGGAGAATAATATAAGTGTTTGGGGAATACCTAAATTTAAGTTTTTTTTTTTTTTTTTTCAACCAAGCTAGTATTCATGTTACGGGGGCTAAACTTCTTTCACTGAGATTCATTTTTTATTATAGGGTGGGATTCAATTAGTAACCAATAAATAGAAGAATTTTTTGTGGTCAGATAATGATGAAAATTCTTCTCCCAAAAAATTAAATTTCCAATCTCAAGGGTCTCCACACTCTGACCCTACAGAATATTTGTTAGGATGTAAATCACGGTGACTCAATGGCTCAGCAAATACGACCAAATGTTGGTGCGCACAAGGATCTGTCCACTTTGGGCATAATCCCCACACTATCGCCGCTATATTCGAACATTGGTCTCTAATCTCAAATACTGTTTACTGAACCATTGAGCAAAGCCCGGGGACAATTTGAAAGGCATCTAACAACCAGCTAGGCTAATCCAATTAGCCAAATCCAGGGACGGAGCCAGCATGGGGGCAGCTTCCCCCCTTCCCCCCACCCCCATCCGCATCCCTACCCCTATATTATCCTTGTATGTATATATGTATATATAGAACAGGTTTTACGTATTAGTATAATAAAACACAGAAATATCAATAAGTGTTGGTTTAGTTTAGTTGGTTAGGCGGGTGTTTGGCTTTTGGTAAGGTTGAGGGTTTAAATCCTGTAATCTTTAAATAATTTTTATGACTATTTTATTCTTAATAGTTAGGCTATTTTATGACTATGGTTCCATTAGATGTATGCAGAATGTGCTACTTGCAGAAGTCATGGCCGTGAAGGAAGCTTTGTCCTGGGCAAAGGAAAGAGGAGATAATAAACTGGTGATCTTTTCGGATTGCCAGTTGGTTTGCAAATGGTTCGATAGTATGGCATGCGATCTTTCTTATGTTCGTTGTGTCTTAAATGAGTGCCGATCTCTCAAACGACACTTTAAATCAGTGTCCATTTATTTTATTCCTAGATCCGCGAACAAGTTTGCTCATGCACTAGCTAGAGCTACTCGTTCTCAGCCTGGTCCGTTGTGTTGGTTATCCGTGATTCCTTTTTGTATTGAGCACCTATTTTAATAAAGTTATTCTTATTCCCTTTCAAAAAAAAAATATAAAATAAAATGTGTACTTTATAATTTATTTTCTATTCTAATTATTTTATCAAATTAATTATGTTTCATATTTTATTATAAATATTTTATAAAGTTTTGACATGTTTTATTTTTTACTTATATCCAAAAATATTTATAATTATATTTTTTAAGTGTTTCATTTTTTAAAAAACTATATCTTTTTTGTTGTAATATTCTGACCCCACTGATAAAAGATCCTGGCTCGGCCACTGGCCAAATCCTACCCAAATTGAAAGGAAAAAAAAAAAAAAAATTGTTTCAAGCCTTACCATGAAGGATACATTGTTGTCCAAAATAATCTGGGTTGGAAATGTTCGATCAATGGAAGATGCAGCTACACATATACTCCATGGAGACACATTCCCCACCAGGGATGCCTCCGGCCCACTGTTACCTGCAGAGAACACCACACTCACTCCCATCTGCATCGCGTGGAAGCCTCCGATGTCGGCGGCCGACGCAAAAAACGGGAGCAACGGCGGTCTCAGCCCGAAGGAGGCCGAGATCACGTGCACCCCGTCGTGCAACGCGTCGTCAAACGCCGCCATCACGTCCGCCTCAGTGCATATCCCGTCGAACCCGTCTTTGTTCCAGCAGGCTTTGTAAACCGCGAGGCGGGCCCTCGGGGCGCCTCCCCTGGCGGTGCCCCGGGCGAACCCGAAGAAGTCGGCGGCGTTGTTAACGACGGAGCCGACGGCCGTGGCGGCTACGTGGGTGCCGTGGCCGAGGTAGTCCCGAGGGGATAGGTAATCGGGGTTGGTTGTCTTGTTTAGCTTCCCGTACTGTTGCTCGTAGCCTTTGATGTAGTAACGGGCTCCGATGAGCTTGCGGTTGCAGGCTCGGGTCGGATCGAACATTTCCCCCGACACGCATTTCCCTTTCCAGGATCTGGGAACTGGCTGCACTCCAGGCTCTTCTTGGAAACTCTTCAGCTCTGGCCACACACCTTTAATTTGCCATTCATTTTGGCACAAAAACAAAAGGGGACAATTTAATTTATGCAACTATAAACTGATGATATGATCCAAATTAAATTTCCATGCATTCAGATCAAAGTTTTTATATTTCCTAATGGTCGTGTTCGCTTCATTGTATCGGTTTTTGTGTCTAATAATGACAGAGAGTGGTTGGGAGGAAGGAATTAGGAGAAAATGAATTATAATTAATTAAAAAAAGAATAAAGTGATAATGAAGTAGGAATTCAAATAATCAAATTACATTGTCTGATAACGAATAATAGAATTATTGAAAATGAAATTAAAAGGAAAGAATTGATATAAAGACTAAATGTACTTTTGTAATAATAATAATAATAATAATAATAAAAAGGGTAAAAAATCTTTTTATTTTTCTTTCCTCCCTATGTTGAATTGCATTTCATATGAGGTAGGACATAAATTGCAATTCCAACCAAACAGTGTAATTTTTACTGCCAAAGAAAAACTAAACAGACACCCCCATTAATTCTGTGATATTCAATGCTGGTTTAGGCCAAATGGACCGCTAATACAATTACTCCATCAAAAATATATATATATATATATATATATATATATATATATATTTTTTTTTTTTTTTATAATATTTAGTAAAGTTACAATTTACAAACAGAATAAATAAAGTTTCTCATCAATTAATTAGTCCATGCAAACCAACTATTTGAAATGAAATTTTGGATTACTGTACTTTTTTGGAAAATCGGCAGCCATGTGTGCACACTAAGTAAACCAAGAAACCAGTCTAGGTTGCTTATAGTTAACTGATTCAAATCAAGAGGGTTGAGATTCAAACTTGTGATCTTGTGCTTACAAGTTTGTATCCTTAGTTATTTTGGTTGGGGTTACCAAGGATTAGTGTACTTTTGATATATCCATAGTTAGCTAGATCGATCCGTTTATACAGGTGAGTTTTTGAATTTTTGTGGCCCCGTTGTTATAAATAAATGAGGCCCTACTAAAAGTATAAATGCAATCTTTAAAACTAATATAAATATAGATTTTTACTTCAAATATGTATAATAAGTGTAACACTAGCTGGACGCAAAAATCACAGTTCATAGTTCAATTCACTTCCAATTTAAATTAAGTAGCTAAATATTGGACCCTCTAAAAATTGAGGCCATGTATTGTTGCCCATCTTGCACGCCTTAAAATCTGGCCATGAGTTTATAAAAGATCAAGCGAAGCGGAATTGAATTTATGCATGCAGATCAGATAATAGTGTAAAAGAAATGAAATTGATTAGCTAGGGTTAGTTGCATGATGACTAAATGAATGATTTGTGTATGTAGATTAATTATAAGGAAGGACCTGTATCCAAAACGCCAACAACAATCTCATCGCCATGAAGCAGCTGCAAAGGAATTCTTCCATGGCTATCATAGTCGTCCAACGTAAGTCCCAGGAAATCCCAGCTTCTTGTCGTATGCAACTCCAAACTCTTGCTCTTGAACACTGATATTACTCCTTTCTTACCAGCCATGGCGGCAGCTTGGGATGAATTAAGCTTTGCTGAAAACCCTGATAGCCCATGCTTGTAGCTGTACACCATAGCCTCTTCTGCATCTTCTTTCCTGTCAAAAAATATCAACAAAAACATGAGACCATCATCTAATAAGTCCATCACTTCCATCCCAAAACCCTATATTTTTATAACTTACCGTAACTCGATCAACATTACTAGTATAACACTGAAAATTATGGAATTTCCGACCACTTGAAAGTGATCTTAAATCAAGTCGAAAGCCTTGTTTGGACCACTTTTGGTATCCGGAAAAATCTTTGTTGCTATTTCTGACCATTTTTTGCTTTCGACTTGATTTAAGATCACTTTCAGGTGGTCGGAAATTCCATAATTTTCAGTAGTGTATAACTAGTAGTGGAAGCATAGCTAAAAAGAAAATAGTCTCCTGAGAAATGAAATGAAATGAGTTTACCTAGTAAACACAGTAGCAAGAAGGCGAAGATGATAGCGTGAAGTGAGAACGGGGTCATGGTTCTGGTGGTGTCCTAAATAAACCAAGTAAACCTATACATATAGCACATAATAACACTTATAATTTAGGTGACAATAAAATTCCATGATATAATTATGTATGGAACAAAAGGAGGGCTCTTTTTTTCCCTCCTGTCAACTTTTGTTGGCTAGGGATTTAAAACATGCACATACATGAGTAGTTGTGGGCATTGAGTGAACAACACAAAGTGAAACAGAGAGGGAAAGTGCCCACAGAAACACAACAGTTGCAGCCATGATCGTCGACATGGGAAATTTCAAACATCGGAGGTTGGAAATAAATAGTGGCTCGTGAATTGTGACGTGGGTTTGGGGAGGAAACAGTGGTAGCAGAAGAGTCGTGTTTTTTAAGGTTATTAAATTAAAGTTGCAGACCCAAAGATCATATTGGCAAGTACTTCCTTAATTTGTTTGGACCATACTCGTAGTTTCATCAGCCGACATAAGTTGAATTGGCAACATTTGGATATGCTTATTGCATTTTTTCCCCTGAAATATTTATGTATTACTGATTATATATGCAATCATGTTATGATTCATTTTTATTAAATTCGATCCATTTTATGGATTGAGACCCGTGAGACAATCTCACACGAAAACAATCCTTAAATTTACACCCATATAGACTGAATAAGATGACCCCATGACAGTCTCTTTTTACTTAACTAAATTTATTTACACAATTAATTTCGATGTAGTCTTAATTGACTAGTAAAAATTTTTATTTTAAGGGTAAAGATGTCTATTTAATATATCATGGCGAAAAACTGTCACTTTTAGAATAATTGAGGCGTTAACATGGATACATAAATAATTCATGAGGAAAAAGTGCTATAAATATATAATTCAGAGGGGGAAAAGAGATGAATAAAAGTGCTATTAAATAATTCATGACTAAAATATGATCATTATATATAAGGTTTTGTTATAAAATACTACATTTATGATATAAATTCTTATAGATAAGGTTTAAAACTACGAATTATATATGCAATCATGTTATGATTCATTTTTATTAAATCCGACCCATTTTATGGATTGAGACTCGTGAGACAATCTTACCCGAAATTAACCCTTAAATTTACACCCATATAGACGGAATAAGATGACCCCATGCCGGTCTTTTTTTTTTTTTTTTTTTTTTACATATACTCTCATTTTCTACATAATTATTTTACTCCTTATTTATGTGGCCTACTCTGGATCATCCAAAAAAAAAATATGGGTCACATTTTTTATTCATCTCTTTTCTTTCTATCAATATATAATCTTGTGATGGGAGATTTATCCCCTAGAAATCTATTTATCATTTTCTTTAAAACGTTTTGAGAATCGATATTTTCATTGTCACCTAACCTAGTAACCTATGAGTTTGAAGAATACTTAGGTTAACATTATCCTTGAAATACTCTTGCACTTTTAAAAGTGAATTCTATTCTTACATCATTAAATTTTCAATTACTTAACTATTTTCTCTAAATCTGTGCAATATCCTCTCACGTAATTTCAAAAATGGTCCACTTTCACATCACATTAAAAAAAAAACCAATTCTCCAACAACAAAATTTAATAAAAAGAATTAAAATAAAAATACATGCAGCAACCTTTTGTACAGTTGCAAGCTTGCAACCCACATCATTACTTAAAAAAAATTAAATGAATTTTTTCCACATCACCTTGCAGGTGAAAAACTTGCATTGCAGGGTTGTGGTTAGGCTATATTTATATCGCAATATTTTCTTACTTTCAAAATTAGATCATACTTTTCATATCATTTAATTTGTAATTCATAAACTATTTTATTTACATCACTGACTCACTGTAATTTTAACTCACTTTTAAAAGTGAGTCTGTATTACACTATATTAAAAAAAATAAATAAATAAAAACTCAAAAACTCATGAATCAAACACACTCATAACTCAAAAATTCAAAAAAAGTTTAGGAATAGGAATAGCTTTAGCCTTATTTTAACAAGTACCATGATGTTCTTCCTGTGTACATTATAGCCTGAAAGAACATACATGAGTACCCCTATCAGACCAACATGTGACTTTCATAATTTGATCAGAAACGACAAATTAGGATTGGCATAGAGCACTCGGGTATGGTTTTCCCTTCTGTAAGTGTACAAATTTAGTACATATTAAATTTTGGTTGGCTAATTTATTTATTTTATTTTAATTAAATTTAAGCTAGACTAAAATCCTTTTTGAATCACTTCCTATCAATTAATATTAATTTGAATGGCTACAATTTATTAGTTGGTTGAGAATGGAAGTCAACATTGCGCATGGGATGGAGCTTTCAAACAAAACATGTGCTTGTGGTTAATTGAAGACTTTGGAATGCTATTTATGTGGATCATGTGATGGAGCGAGCTTTACTATAAAAGGAAGACATCTTCTTTTGGAAAGTTACTGATTTTGAGAATTCTATATTGAGTGAAATGAATCTGCATTACAAAGCTATCTTATTAATTTCATTCTTGAATATCAATTTGTGTGGGATTAAAATATGAGCTGCACAGTCAGTACCTGGAACAGTTGAAGTTTCGCTTGAAGATTGTTATGGCATGCACGGTTCAATCCCGAGTAGGTGTTAGGAAGGGTTGTGGTAGTAACCGCTAATAGCCATTTGTACTTACATATTGTATAACTCCTAGGTGAACATCTATAGTGGGTTGCCCCGCAGACGTAGGAGAAGCGTTCCGAACTACGTAACAATTTTTTGTGTTCTTATTTTATTTTATGCTTTCAAGTTCAGTTATTTACATTTGATTAAATAACCTAATTAATGAACACAATTGTTGCATAAAATAAAATCAAGTAATTTTTTAAGTTTTATCTTAATTGCATTCAAGATTCACGGTACAATTTCACCTTCTTTAGTAGTTTAGTACTTAAAATAATAATAACTGTTCGCATTATTGTGGCATAATAAAGCCTGATTATTAATCCATAATTACAATACGTTTGGCATGCAGATGCAGTATATTCCAAAAATGATCAAATCGCTGTAGACATGAGATACTCCATTTTCACCATCTAACTGTATCACTGGCTACTTTGATAGATACTAACTAAATCATCATATTACGGATTATATAGTATTATTACTTTAACCTTCCCTGCTTGTTTGGTGGTATATCTGATTGAGATATTGGACTCGAACTAAGAAGACAAGTCTAAGTCGACGCCATAAGAGAGCGAAAAAGGAAAAAAATAAAAAGATCATTGTTCATGCATTAAGGATTGCACCGCAATGGGTCCCAGACATGCCTAGAGGACCTTTTGCGGTGCAATCGTATCCCGTGTTGTATAATCATGTAGATTATAGGGTGATTAGTATGAGTTAAGCTTATCTAGAGACTAGACAACATAAGAACCTCTATATTGTAGTACTGCACATGGGTGTTAGTTAGTAGCTACTATTATGACCAGTAGCTACAATGAAAATGCTTGCTGGTTAGTAGCTACTATTATAACCAGTAGCTACAATCAAAATGCTTGCTGGTTGGGCCATGAATTAATTGTACATATATTCCTTCAAGCTAAGTTACACCCACGTATTGCACATAAATACTAATAGGTCTCCATGAGCACATCTACTAAGCATTCATGCAGGCTAAGCTAGCTGCTAGCCTCTGCGTGCTTTAATTTGTTAACATAAAACGTAGGCCCCGTTGGGACTACGGCTTGGAAGGCGAGTTCAGCATCCTGTCATTGAACCGTGGTGTTGCGAAGTACTTGAAGGAGGTGTTGTTAAATGGTTAATGTCAACCTACTTATCACCATTTAAGAAGGATAGATAATAAAAAAAAATTCGTGGTTAATTGTGTATCGGATCCAAGGTCAGCCAACAGGCTCGGCACGCCATGCATGACCGGTTTTTGGATTTGTGTGGCCCCATTCTTGTAAATAAATGAGGCCCTGACTAGTGGCTATTTGCTAGGTTGTTGTTATTGGTTTGGAATGCAAATAGAACGATCTGTTAGGGGGAGGAATGATATTGATGGTGAACTAGTGAATAGTACGGGTTTCAAGTTATTTTTGCAAATTTAGGAATTGAGACATTATTTGTGCCATTGGAGAAACAGAACGGTTTTAGCTAGGTATATAAAAATCACTTAAAATTCACTATTGTGGATGCCCTTAGGGTTGTTAGCACGCATGCGCAGTTGCAGGATTATCAAGAAAATCATTGTTCGACCTAGTTTTAGGACTGCGGATTGGCTTTGGTTGGAGTAGGAGTAGGTTCTGAATGATTGATTGGGATTGAAGATTAACGAACAGTGAAATTAGTTTGCCGACTACGATGTTAATATGATCTTGCGAAACAAACACGTTGGAATCATTGATCGATGTTTCAACGAACTCTCGATTGGGAAAACCAATCATTGTGTTTCCGCTAAATCATATCATAGCTCGCTTGATGTGATTGATCAAAGCAACTTAATTGGGTTGCTTGGATTTCAAGTAATAATATAAATTTTAAGTTGCACTGATCCAATGCCGGCGTAATATAATTAAGGTTCTCAATATAATCCGCTAGCTATAGCTAGCTAGTTTCGATCTGTATGGATCGGAGTCGCAAATTATGCCATGGAATCGTGTTCACCCAGAATAGTGAACACAAGGCAAAATGACGTCGTTTTTAGGTAAAAAAATAAATAAATTTCGCGGATGTGGAGTTAACGGTGCGCGTTTGATCAAATTATGAATTTTCTGTTATGAGATTATGAATTTTATGAAAATTCATAATCTCATAACAGAAAATTCATAATCGCATAATAGAAAATTCATAATCTCACAACTGAAAATTCATAATCTCATAACAGAAAATTCATAATCTTATAACAGAAAATTCATAATCTCATGGTTCCAAAGTGAATGTGTAGGCATGGTTCCAAAGTGAATGTGCAGGCATGGATTCATAATTTATGAATGTCCGTGATTTCGGATGGGAATATGTAGGCATGGTTCCAAAGTGAATGTGCAGGCATGAATTCATAATTTATGAATGTCCGAAATTATGAATGTAATGAAAATTCATAATCTCATAACAGAAAATTCATAATCGCATAACTGAAAGTTCATAATCTCATAACTGAAAATTCATAATCTCATAACAGAAAATTCATAATTTCATGGTTCCAAAGTGAATGTGTAGGCATGGTTCCAAAGTGAATGTGCATGC